TGAAATACTAGCTTACTGCTTACTAAAAACTGGCAAAACACTCATCAAGCAGTAGACATCTTGCAAACATTTCCAGCAGTAGTATTGCCACGTAGCGTGAAAAAGAAGTGCACTTGAGCATACTTTTGAAAGAGTACTTCAGAATGTTTTGACCCACTTTAGGACTTCAGTACATCTTTATATGTAATTTCATAATGACTTATATTGTCTTTGAAATATGATTAAAGTGTTACTGCTGAATGTCCTGACAAACATAAACTAAAATATACTTTAATGTCATTTCTGTTGAAACTTAAAAATAAAAGCAATTGTTCCACACTTGCAATTAAATTTTTGCGCAAAATAAATGTCTTGCCTTTCGGCAGTCTGATGAAATGAGGTCAAAAAAAGAAAATATGGTTTTTGACATTGATACGCCACACTTGAAATAACAGCTCAAAATCAAGCACATTGCATTGTGGGACACCGTACAGCAAAAAGTATGTTTACACTACGCAAAATTATGGTATAAAATAGCTTTTTCCACATTTGGTCAGTACAAAGGTGATTAACGCTGAAAAACTGAAGCCAAATGTTACTTTATAGTTAATGCTATGATAAAACCGGATAAAAAAAGTAACTGCGACTGTGAATTCAGACTGTTCTCGACATCTCGAATCTCACAGTTTGGATTTTTTTTCTTGCAGTTTTCTCAGAATTGCGAGCCATAAATGCAGAATTGCGAGAAAAAGTCATAATTGCGAGATTTAAACTCGGAATTACAAGAAAGAAAATCACAATTCTGAGTTTATATCTCTATTTTTCTCCGAATTGCGAGTCTATTAAATTCTGAGAAGTTAGAATTGCGAGAAAAATGCACGCAATTAAATTTTTTATTCCGTGATGGAAAAATGCTTAATAAAGATATTTGTTAAACCATTTTTCTTACAGTAAATTGCGCAACAGTACTGAATAGCTGAGCTTGAACAATGTATTCAACACAAACACATTTAATGTGCTTAAAATAAACTGTTTTTTTACGGAGCCCCGCACATGACATGCAAGAAAAAATAAATAAATCGTGTTTAGTTCCCTCGATTTATAAATTGTGCGCACGATTTACTAATTCGTTCCCTCGATGTACTAAAACATGCACATGATTGCTATTTCGTTCCCTCGATTTATAAATAGTGTGCACGGTTTAGTAAATCGAGGGAACGAATTAGTAAATCACGCGCACAATTTATAAATCGAGGGAATGAAATAGTAAATCGTGTGCACAATTTATAAATCGAGGGAACTAAATAGTAAATCGTGCATACGATTTAGCCTACTAATTTTTTCTTGCATGTCATGTGAGGGGCTCTGTAGTTTTTCATGCCTCTAAAGACAAAAAAAAATGTAATTGGACACCAAAGCGTGCAATATTCCTGAAAGCATCTACTGCACATATTTTATGTTACTTACATGCATACAGAACATTTGCATACTGTGCGCAGTATAGAAACTAAAGAGCAGTGAGTGTGGTCACAGAGGACTGAAGCAATAAGAGCATGTTAGTGTTATTCTGATCAGAGCCCACACGTCTCTCTCTCACAAACACAGCTGTGTCTCCGTCCCTCCCTCCAACTCTCTCGCTCGCTGTGGCCAGTCAAATGCCGTCCTTCCCAACTCCCCTAAAACTCTGTTTACAGTTCTGTGTCCGTGTCCCACCCCCTGTCCGCAGTCATCCACGTTTATCCAACACATCCAGCACTCTAATAATCTCTGAGCTGGGTGGAGAGATTCTGGCAGAGGACGGATACAATAGCAAGGGATTTGGACCAACGCAAGGAAAACGAAAGGAGGGAATGTTTAGTGAGAATCAAACGAGCGAGAGAGGAGTTCAGTTTCTCTGTTCATGGACGCTCTCTTTCTCCTCGTTCACTTGGATCTCCATCCATCTCTCATCAAGCTCTTTTAGGGAGAGCGCACTCAAAATGTTCACCTTTATTTTGCTCCAAACCCACACGACTTTCTTTCTTTTATGGAAGAAAAAATAAATTATGAAGACTTGCACTGGTCACACTTTTCCATTCACCATTTAAAGCCTACTGTTTCATTTTTAATGCATAATCTTCTAAGGCCTCTAAATGATCAACATGATCAAAACACACACAATCTACTCCAATTGTACAAACATCCACCTTTTTGCTGAGAAATCTTTACTGATTTTTGTCATGTAAACGTAAGAATAACTTTGATATTGTTAGCAATATTTCAAAATGAACACTTACTGTACTGGATACATTTTTTTTAAAATCATGTTTAAATGTCTCAAATATGATCATCACGCTTTGCATTGCATTATATGTTTTGATCATCAAATTAAGCATTTAAATCTGATCTTACTATAACATGTTATTAGAGATATAGAGTGACGGCTGATATTTACATCATTTTATGAAAGTACTCTGTTATAAAAGTCTCATTGATTTACATTATAATCAGAATTGTATCTATATGAGCAATAAAAAAAGCCATAAAAGAGCCATAAGAACCTGTTATCATTGTTAAATTTCAATAAATAAGGGACTGAAGACATAGAAATCTGAAAAGTATCATAAAAAGTGGTCTGTTATTTCAAGCTTTAAGTAATTTGATACTTTTTTTGTGAGAAAACCAAAAAAAAACTAAACGAAATCTAAGTCGCTACTAGCTAATAATCTTCCCCTCCAGTGCAGCAGAAATGTCATTTCAATTGGTTCCGACAACTCATTTATTGAAATTATCCAGCTATAAAGGTTGATTTGTTCCTGTGTTGTCTATTCCTCTCAAGAATGTGCCATGGAGAACTAAGATTTTCAATAAATTACTTTTTGGTCTGTTCACCGTTTTCTGTGAATAACAAAATCTTGGTCCGTTCCTCAAACATCATACGGGTTTGGAACGACATGAGGGCGAGTAAATGAGACCGAACTTTTTTTTTTTTTAAATGTCCTTTAAAAACCCTCTGGCACACTGAGAACAAGCCAACTCATACACAGAACTGCACAGCAGCGCCATGCAGTAACAATTACTGCACACACACACAATCACATAATGATCTTTAGCGTTACGCCGGTCAAAATATGATCTCCCAGGGACAACAAAACAAAAGCATGCTCACCCTACAGCCAAACCCCCAGTGCCCCGTCCAACAATAGCTCACATAACTGCTGGAACCTACAACCCTTTTACTTCTAATAAATCGGAGCACATTCTACACCAGCAAAACACACACAGTCCCAGTGTCGCCTCGTCACACCGAGGCCTCTTTCGCAACGGCTCATGGCCTGAATACCCCTGAGTGCTTTTGTTTTCATTTCATTTCTACATAAAGGCAGATTTAGAAGCGAGTGTACACAGAGGAGTGAATGAGCGCTGTGTCTCTGTCATTTCAGAGTAACTGAATTCTTACACTGAACTCTTCCTGATCCTGAACCCTGTAGGATATCAGCACTGTCCCATACTCAACTGATGCTGAGTCTGATTCTGAACCCTGTTCAGTACTGAATGAACTCTGTCTGATAAAACAACGTTATAGCTTAAAGACATGCATTCGACTCACACCTACTGACACACTTACCCTCAAACCATAAAACACACTTACATCTCTTGTTCAAGCTTGTACTTTTCCAAGCCATTTGGGAAGTGTGTATTGGCCCTCTTCATGTTACACGATCTCCTCAGGATGAATCACTTGTGCTCAGGCATTCCTCAATTATAAGTCACTTCGGATAAATGCATTTGCAAAATGAATATAATTCGACTTAAACACTACACTGAACTGATCTGTAACTCAAAGCAAACATTCTACAGTCATGTACCCAAAAACAAAATTTGCCAAACCTTATATCTGCACCGTACTGTATATCATTTCACGTTGTTGTTGAAACAATCTGGCGACTTATGCAATAGAAGGAGTCATATCATGTAATCAATTTCTGTAAAACTATTCCTTTAATATCGCAGTTTTCCTCATCTAGAAATGATTTACTCAGTATGACTGGAAGCAGGAGGGAGATCATAAAGTCTCTCAGAACCATGATGAGAAAAAGCTCAGTGAGATTTATAGATATAAACAACACGTCAGCCATAACAACTCTTTAGCAGCACTTCATCAGTGAATAACTTCAAACAAGATTCAGTGATCTAAACTCAAGACTCAAGGTTATAACTGAAGAATCTAAACCCAAGATTAAGGGTCCGTAACTCAAGATTCAAGGTTCTAAACTCAAAAATCAAGACTCTAAACTGAAGATTCAACATTCCAAACTAAAGATTTTTTGTGGGCCTAAATGTAGGAATCAAGATTTAAATAAAGATTCAGGGTTCTAAACTCAAGAATCAAAGTTTTAAACTCAAGATTGTAAATTCAGGATTCAAGGGTCTAAACTCAGTATTCATGATTCCAATTCAAGGTTCTATACTCAAGATCCAAGGTGCTAAACTCAAGAATCAAGATTCTGCACTAAATATCTAAAATCGAAGTTTCTTAACTCAAGATAAATGTTTTAAACTCAGGATTGTAAATTCAAGATTCAAGTTTAAACTCGGTGTAAACTCGGTATTCGCATTTCCAAATTCAAGGTTCTACACTCAAGATTCAAAGTTTGAATTCAAGGCTCTAAATTCTAAATTTAAGGTGCTACACTCAAGATTCAAGATAAATGAATAAACTAAAAAAATAGATTCTATTTTCAAGATTTAAGGTTTCAAACACAAGATTGTAAATTCAAGATTCACGTGTCTAACCTCATATGAACTTTTTAATAAACTGATAAACAACCAAACTGCAAAACAATACAGTCTGATCATAAAAAACTAATTGAAAAGAGGTAAATGGATAATATTGTGTAAGCAGATCTCCAGTATACTCGATTATTAGACCATAAACTCCAAATGCTGCTCCACAATGGCAGAGAGGTAAGTAATATTCCACCACACCTCTGTTATTGCTTCTTTTTTTCCTTTACAGCCCTTCAATTTCCATTTCTAACCTTCTGTGAAAGGCTCCCAGTCATACACGCGTCCCATAAACTCTTGATTGTTGAACGCTGCACACTGTTCAGCCCTGGAGCTTACTGGAGCACCTGGACATGCCTACAGGGAGAGAGAGAAATAATGGTGAACCTGGAAACATTCTAAATAAATCTCCAGAGGGAGAGACAGACGGAGGCCAGTGTTTTCAGAGTCAGAGAAAGACAAGAGCCCTGAAGAAGACGACTCAAAGTGACACATTTTAAGGAATGAAAAACTGGCAAACCACTAGGGTTAGGAATTTTTTAACAAGTAAAAGGTCTTTTAGTCTAGTTGTACAAATGTCCACCTTCAGCTCAAGCTTCACATGGCTTTTTGCTGTGAAAACATTACTGATTTTCATAAAGTAAACATAAGAATAACTTTGATGTTGTTAGTAATATTTCCAGATTAACTCTTACTGGACTGAAGCAGCTCAGCTTTACTTGATTCTCCATCAATCATGTTTTAGAGTCTCAAATCCGATCATCAGGATCTATTGAGGAGCGTTTGTTTCCAGCAGCTTTACTTTCACTGTTCCTCAGCGGAGGAATGATCTTCACAAGCCTCCAGAACATCTCACATCTTCTGAGGAGCCTTTATTTCTTCATCTCTCAATCAGCATTGGATTGCATTGCATTGAATGTTTTGATCATTTCAATATCATCTTACTGAGACATATTATTGGAGATACAGAATGACGACGATATTTAGATAATTTCATGTAAGTATCTGTTATAAAGACCTCATTGATCTACAAGCTATCAAACATATTAATATCAGCATCTGCACCAAATTGCACATTTTTGCTCAGTTTGAGTCTCTGAATAAAAGTGAGCTGTTTTTTTTTTTTCCTCCAAACACGTGCATTTTTATTTTTTTCTCTAAAGGTTCAATGAACTGTTTTATTTCCATTTCGGACTATTATTTAACATGACAGACTTTACAGGGTTAAGAAAGCACAATTGTTAAGTGGAAATGTTACCAGAATGGATAAATTCCTTACAATCCCCAAACCACAGACAGAACGGGACATCAGGATAGAGACATATGGCATCATAAATCAGACCTATATCAGCTTTGAGAGCGCAAGAGCACAGATGCTCGTCTCAAAATCTTCCACGTGTTTGTTCACGATGCCAATGACATCAGGAAACACTGCTCATTTTCTCTTGCTTTTTTCCTTTTCCCGTCTTGAACACGATGGGAAGCCCCCACAGAGGGAGAGATGAAGCGGAGAAATGTTACAGGACACTAAAGACAGGCAGAGACAGCTGCGGACAGTAATGGGGGTGAAATTAAAGAGGCACAGGGTCATCGAGGTGTCATTTCACCTCACAGACCACCGCACACACCGCCATTAATGACCAAACACCGTCCCATTAATGCACAGCAAACACACTGCGGCTCTCCACAAACCAGCCCTAAACATTTACAGCACGTCTGAGTGTGTTTGCTCAGGAAAACTTCTTCTTCGTTTATTCTAGGGGTTCAGTGCTCATACTCGTGTTCACTGATTTACTTGAATTAATCCGTGCTTTGGGTGCTTACGGCATAAGTTGCGATGTTAAGATTTGTACATATATACATAGGTTTAATTAGGCTACATCAATGCTGACGAATATTTACAAACATTCAGAATGTTGGCTGAGTTTTGAAGTGCTTGAAATCTCCTGAATGGTTTAAAAACAACTGAATTAATGATTAAGAACAAAGATATACCTAACCAGCAGTTAGGTAGAAAAAAATAACCCAGCATTAAAATAACCCAATAAAATGACCCAACAGGATTTATAGAACTCTTCAAAGCGAAATAAGCATAATTGGTTGTGTTTGGTTATTTAATAAAGGGACAGTAGCAATTGTAAATACTTTTGTGCAGCAGTATGCTATTCAGTAGCTATTCAGATCGCAATGTTAGCAAATTTTATAGCATGAATAGCAAATTCAGATGCAAGGTTAGAAATAATATTACACTCTAAAAAATGCTGGGTTAAATACAACCCAGTGCTGGGTAAAATAGGGACAAACCCAGCAATTGGGTTGTTTTGACCCAGCATTTTTTAGAGTGTAGCAGCAGTCATATTATTATTGTTGCTAATATAGCAGCGGCAGCAGAAAGCGCTTTAGTTGCATGAAATTTTAGTGATAACTCATGGTGGGTAAATTAACTCTTTAAAGTGCAATAGGCATTTATTACTTTGGTTATTCAACAGGGCTTACGGCAGGTTTCGTGCAGCAGCAGTAGATTATGCTTTGCAAATTCTGATTAAATATTACAACCGCAACAGCTCGCACAGTAAATTCCTACTACAACATTGTGAATATCATTAACAGCCACAGCAGCTACTTCAACTCGGTATTGAAATGTAAGTGAATATTATCAATTGCAGCAGTAGCAGAAGTTTTGTTGCGCTGGCCGTGTCACACTGCATACATTGTGGACAGCTTTACCTATCGTAACGGGTCTATTGACTTTGTCATGTTGTGCCGCTAGCGTCTGGCATAGACATCGTGTTAAAATAAAATAGGCATTCGCCTAGCTACTTATATACCTAATTAATGGAGCTCTCAGCAGTTCAGTCTCTTGTGCAGTAGCAGCAGCTTGCAGAGGCATTCAGTCATCGAGATTTTTCTCAGCAGCAGCATGCACAGCATTTCTATGTTGCAAATTTTAATTTGGACACAATTAATATAAAAGCAGACAACTGCATTTAAATAAAGTCACTGTAGTGTCTTGCTCAAGACCATCTTGGAACGAGCCATGCATTTTGCAATGATGTGTTCATACAATGCATTCGTCATATCCATCACCATGCTAAAATCTTCCGAGAGTTGTCATGATTGAACTAACAAAAATGACAGAACAAAATTAACTAAAATACTAAAAAATAACTAAAATTAAAAATAAAATAAAACATAATAGTGTCTCAATTATACTAAAATAGTGGTGGAGATATTTAGCAAAATGTTCATGCTGCTCAAGAAAGCTTTAAAAAAAAGAAATATAATTTGTTAATTTAGTTAAGTGAATTTAAGTAGTTCAAGTATGTTTTTGAAGTATACTTTATGTTGTACATATAGCCTACTAATATTAGTGTAATACTGTACTATTACTGTTTCAGTACTTGGATGGGACTAAATTGGTTCAGTTTTTAATTGATACAAATATACTTTTAAGTGTATTTAAGTGTAACTTCAGTAAACTTTAAGCACACAACAAGTCTTTTCTTTAGCAACTATACTACAAGTTAAGGTAAAAGGATTGCTTCACGCTAAAATACGAGTCCATAATCCATAATAACGCTTCCTCCAGTGAAAAAGTCCATCTCCTGTTGTCTCTCACATCAAAACACACCCACATATTTGTTTAGAGCTGTTTTGGACTGTTTTGGCTTGTAAACAGCTTGACCTGTGCAGATTTCTCTGCTGATTCAGACCAGACAACTTTTCACTCGAAGAAGTGTTATTATGAATCATGGACTCATATTTTAGGTGAAAGCGATGGTTTGAAATTAAAAATTGTGAACTATTCTTTTAAAGAATTACACATAAAACACAAAACTAAGCATACAAAGATGAAAAGAGGCAAAATCATTTGTGAGATTTTACTTGCTAAGAGAGCAGAAGAACAACACAGAGCTGATATATAGCTGAAATGTACCAGTCAAAGAGTTCAGAAGAGTTCCTGTAATGAAGCAGAGCATCTACTAGAACTCAAGCTGAGAGACAGAGAGCTAATGCTCTACTGCCTTTCCTTAGGCCACATTCACTTCCTCGTTAATAGGGTCAGACCGCATCTGCACACACACACAC